CATTTACATTTGATTGCAGGTCTAACATCGGTTTTAAAAAAAAACTTTTGAAAACATACACTGCAAACATGTGTAACCTGCTGCAAACATTAACTTGATTTTTCTGCCTGATCTAAGCCTTAAATTGAGTTATCCTTATGATGGTTCTATGAAAAATAATTTTCAGTAAACATTCATTGGTGTTGATTGTTGTAACATCTCCAAATTAAGCGCATGTTAATGTTTTGCAGGTAGCTGACAAATAGCAAGAAAATTTGTAGGTTGAAATTTAATTTTGTGCATAATTGTCAGATTTTCCCCATCATTTTAGACACATTTTAGTCATTCAAATGAATAGAATAAAAACACTAAAATTCTCATTATAAGTGTCTCACAATTGATATAAAGTTGTAAAAACGGCATATAGACAACAGTAGGATTTTAAAGTGTTTAAAGTAGTTTTAAATGAAGTATTGCATGTCATGCTACTGGAAGCTGCTGTCATCTATCATACTTTCATATCTGGACCACATCAGACTTACGCATTGTCGCAGTCGCAGTGGCTAAGGGAGTGCCATTTAAAGTTGGTGTATCCATAATTGGAGGAGAACGCATGGATGACATATGGGCAGTGATCGTGAACGCGGCAACATTGGTCGGTCTCTTCGAATTCGCCTGAGGGGGGAATCACATGCACAAAATGCCTTAACACCTGCTACAGTATGAAAATGAAAAATAATAGGCCACTCAAGCCGGTGAATTAAAGTCAACTCACCTAACTGATCATAATGGTCTGCGATGTTTCCGGCACCACACCAAAGTGTCCCGGGATACGTGAAGCCTCGCTTGGTTCGCGTCTTTTTATTGTTCGCTGCATCAGAGTTCGGCTCTTTTGCTTGTTTTGTTGTCGTGGTCACATTCCTGTCGCCTCTTGATTTCAGCTTGTTACAGTTCGCCTTCGCTTCGGACACCCCGGTCAAACTCACCTTCAAATCGGAGCTCATTTGGTTTCTTAGCCCAAGTCTGCAGACGTGCATGAAGGATTTAACTTGCATTTCGTTTTGGAGCACAGAGCAGTCGACCAGGCGGCCCTCAGAGTCATGCACAGAGCGAACCTCTTCAGCCCCATCGGTGACCTGATGGAGGTGATACTCTCCCACAACCGAACTTTTGGCGCAAAGAGTGTTGTTGAGCATGTAAAAGAGCTCTTTGCTCTCTTTTTCTGCCTCTGAAGCTTGGCTTAAGAATTCGCCTTTAACAAAGTTCCTGTCTAAATAAGACAGAAACACGAAAAACACAGACCACATCGCGGCGGGCGGCACTTTCAGCACCACAGAGTCTCAGACAGCACCGCAGCCTCTCCTGTCCAACGAGTACCGGCTTCTTTCACCGGCTGCTGTGGGTATTAATATATTGCTGGTCAATAATGGGAGGGGTCTGTCATTTAATTAACCCTTTCCTCCTCCAATGAACTTGAATACCCTAATGTGCATCTGTTGCCTCCTCCTGGCGTCCCTGTGGCAAGCGAACAATGTGCAATGATTTCCGATGGATTCTCATTTCCAGTGGACCTCATGTATTTGCAAAAGGCAAATTCGCATTTCTCTGATTTGCGAGAGGGAAATGTTGCAAGGCAACGTATTCTTGTTTTATTTCTTTTTAAAAGTAAACCAATGCTTTGTCGAAACCACATTTTGCATTATAGTTATTTTTAGTTTTTATTACATTTTAGCACAATAGAAAGGCATGGCATTAAAGCATAAGACAGATTTGAGCTACAAGTAGACTATTTAAGGCAAATTTAGGTAGGCCTATATGAATTCTACAAAGACGTTCCAAACAAAAGATTGGAGATAGCCTAGGCTATTCTTTTTTTAGATAAAAGTAAAATACTTTGTTTTCAAACAACGTTTAATTAACCACAAAAAAAAATTAGCCTACAAGTAATTCCCAAATAAGAGGCAACGTCGCAATAATTCGCTGTTTGAGAGCTTTGCGTCAGAATTAGTCATTATTTATCAATTTGTTATTTATTTACACACAAATATATCTCAAACGTTTGCATTTTGTTTAAAACCTATTTGAGTTAAACTGACTGCGCTAGGGGCGTTGAATCAGAACATATAAATACTTACAGAATATATATTTAAATAAATAAATGACTTTCGACCCCTGAAAGTCATTGGCTACCTCAAAACAATCTAAACTTTACATCATGTCTACAAATACAATAGGACTATAGCATATTTTTCTTAACTATTTTCAATGTAGGTTCTTTTAATCAAGCCGTGTTTGTTGTGTGCAAGCGCACCAGGAATTTGTAATCCTACATAATGAATGTAGGGTGTAATGGATAGGCCTATGTGTGTTTTGACCGCAAGTAACCCCATCTCTCCCCACACCTCGAGATTTACTTGTGGTGACGCAGCAAGGAGGAGGTTCCTTTGGCGCTTTCCATAGTAACAAGAGATGGGGTGATTCTTCCGACCCAACGAGATTGGGCATTCTAATTTCACAAAAGGAATGGGTAGTGACCTAATTTGGAACAGTGGGCTTTTTCAATGCAGACCAATGAGGATCTCCATGCAGTTACTGAACATCAGTGTCTTTTCCTATGGTTACATGGGTCTTAACTTTGGGACTTTAGCAGACGCAGGCGCCAGTAAAATGAAAAAGAGTCATTTGAGAAGAGAACGCACGTTTGTCCTTGTCCATATGTAAATAAATTTGCAATTGTTCCTGGCTATTGCTTTCAAGCAATTAAATATGTAGCTTTCCATTGCTGTATTTCTAAATTTCACATGATTAAAATGGTCCATCCCAGATTAAATTTTTATTTATGAACTATTTAACAATTGGCTGAAAAGGGTACAAACAACGAACTTACAAAATAACCAAATAAATCAGGAATTGAGTATGTGCAAGTCCAAAAGCGAAATATTTATGGTCGGCTTTCAAAGAGCCCCCACTGAGTCCAACAGTGGGCTTTGGCAAAGAAATCGGATTGGTGGGGGAGGAAACAAATGATGTAAAATCACCAGAGGCAACATGCGACACTGTTGGAAAATCAATCCGATGTAGTATTAATTTAATAGGCTACTCATTAAAAACTTTTGCCAGGATATTAATCACTGCGTGATCCACATACTTGACGAACTGTTACTTCATTCTTCACAGCACACTGTAATTTAGAAACACTGCCCTTTCTTTAAAATGTTTCTAATCTACAATAGCACATCAGTTCTTGGAACATAAATCTGAAATACTACAGCCTGAGGTATGAAAACATAAAACGTTGAATGACTACTCATATCTGATGTACAGAGGAATCCATTGTCCTAAATTTCACATGATTTTCGGATATGAGTCAAAAAGGAACCCCATTTCTGTATTATACTACTAAACAATGAAATCAGTTAGCAGCTCAATCAAGAGGTCACTATGAGAAATCTCTGCAGAAAATAAAACGTAGGCTAAAAGACCAAAAGATGCAATAATAAAATGGTCCATAGCATCATAATTTCGATCTCTTGTGGATGGATGCATAGGCGAGTCCTGCATAATGAGGCGCAATTCAGTGGAAACGGGCTCATGGCTTGCACATAAAGACGCTTATTATAGTCGTCTGCTTAGGCTTTTTTTTTGTATCGGGTTCCCTATATATTTTCCATGGTATAGTTACTGCCGTTCATTCAGTAATTATAAAATATCTATTCATATGCTTCCATCTTAAAGGTTTGTAGAAGCTTTCTTAACCTTATTTGTATTGACGACCGTATATTGTTATAGGCAATAACCATTTTCAATGTTTGAAAAAATGCAATTCAATTATAACAAGACTTTCTTTTGGTTTGTGTGTGTGTGTTACCTACAATTCCCTATACATTATGTGGACCAAATGTCCCCATGCACAAGTATGGTAAAACCAGTCAATTTTGACATAATGGGAACCTTTTTTGTCCCATTATGGAACAACTTATAAATCATATAGAACGAAGTGTTTATCAAATCTAGCAGAAAGTTTTCTGTGATGTGTAGGGTTAGGGTAAGGGGATATAAAATACAATTTAAAAACCATTACGTCTATGGAATGTCCCCCAAAATAAAGGAAACACATTACAGTAGGCCTACACTCCTTTACAGTATATAGACTAATTTTGTAATTAGCTCACTGTGATTATTTGCAAGCCACTTATCCCACACAAATGGACAGTAGGCTACTTATCTTCACTGCTACAAATTTCATGACTGACTTCAGGTCTTTGCTCTGAAAGAAAAAAAAGACTGTTAGATGAATTTTTTGTTAAGAATCAGGATGAATCTTAAACCTGCACACAATACGTAGTATAGGCAATCCTCACTCTTTCTGAATCTCTCATATTTCTACTTGTCTCCTGTGCTTGATCACTGCGTAAAAAACGGAGTGGCAGCTGTCAGCGTCACTTCAGCGCCTCGGCGGATATCGCGGAGGGATATTATTTCTTCTTCATGTGGAACTCCGGTTCGGGACACGCCACGATAGTGCGGATAGATATCATGTAGCTCCGGTTAGTCCTAGGAGTCAGTCACACTGTAGCGCAACGTAACGTTACTGAGCATTTATTAAAACATATCTTGACCCGAAATTATGGGTCCTTTCTTTCTGTCTGTCGGCAGTAATTAAAGCAAAAGGAGCCCCTACCAAGTATTGAGTACATGTACAGTAAATGAACATACTTTCCAGAAGGCCAACAATTCACTAAAAATGTTTTTTTTTATTGGTCTTATGAAGTATTCTAATTTGTTGAGATCGTGAATTGGTGGGTTTTTGTTAAATGTGAGCCAAAATCATCACAATTAAAAGAACCAAAGACTTAAACTACTTCAGTCTGTTTGCATGAATTTATTTAATACACAAGTTTTACAATTTGAGTTGAATTACTGAAATAAATGAACTTTTCCATGACATTCTAATTTATTGAGATGCACCTGTACTACTTAGTAACACAAAATGGGAAATTATAGGTATGTTATGATGTACTTCAGGTCTGCGGGTTCTTATAGTAGACCAGTGGATTGAGACTGGAGGAACTATGAGAGCAGCTATCAAACTGGTGGAGAATCAAGGAGCTACTGTTGTAGGTAAGCATAAAACAGCTAATATAATAAAAGCAAAGAAATGTTTTGAGAGATTTTGAACTTGTCCACTGCCCCTCTCCACCCAAAACCTTTATATCTTTCTTTGATGTTGATTCTGCCTTTTGGGGAACTATTAAAATAAATAATGTAACTGAAGTATGACTGGTGAGAGTTTATTGACATTCTTGTTATATTTGTTGCTGCAAGATACAAAACAAGGGTTTTGGACAGCTTCTTTCTGTGAGAGGGTGTAATAGCTCTTGTTCACTTATTACTTATCAGTAGACTTGATTAAGATGGTAAACTTAGTGCTATTATTTCTCTATTCTTTGTAGGCATTGCCGCTGTGGCCATTGAAAACAGTGAGGGAGGAACGTGGCTAAAGGAAAACTATAAATATTCCCACTGCATTCCAAATGAGCTGCAATCTCAGATAGACAGTCAATACCTGGAGTCTTTTAAGAACTTTAGTGGTTAAATATCAAGAAATCAGGGAAAAAAATATTCATGTGAAATTTGTGGAGGTATGAATCTTGCGAGGACTTAACTCTCTATGCTTGAATGAATTTTATGCAGTACATTTGTCATGTTTTATGCATTTGTCATATTGGTCATAAATACGTCTGTTGTTGTTGTTACACTAAAATACCTTTAGAGGTCACTATCAGGTTGTAGCTCAGATTTCTAACTTATTACTAACTTGAAAATGCTCAAATAATCAATAATGCTGAATTTCATGTAAATGAAAGATTTAATCAAAATATGAACAGTATTAAAATCAGTATTTAATCAAAATAATAGTATTACTGTGATATATGAACACATTTGGGAAAAATAGCTATTTTATTTATCGTGAGGTGTTTTAAAATAATTAAATAAATGGCTCATTTAAGGAAAAACATTTTATTTAGAATAAAAATGTCAATCACAGAAAACCAAGTATATAAGCCCTAATACTTTTAAAATCTTTACAGCAAGAATTTGAACCTATATATAAAACAAATCTATATAACTTCAAGGAAAATGACCCTTTTAATAAACAGGACTTTTGATATAGAAAAATATATTTATCACTGTTTATTGCTTTTTGTGCAACTCATGCATGATCCTCCTGTGTACCTTTTAAAATCACTACTGAATGTAAGCTTAGCATAATGTGAAATAAAATGTATTTTTAATTAACACAATGTAATAATCACTGATAAGGATTGTGCATAGAACTCATGGGAAAACAGAATACAGCTTTACCACAAAAATGCAAACCTCAAGTTTTCCAACAAAGGAATGTTTTCTTTCATCCAGCAGATATTCAGTTACACCCTATGAATAACAAACCACACTGCTCTCTGTACAGTCACATAGTTGGAATTGTGTCCATCCTACTTTTCTTATCTAGTACATTCTCCCTATGTACGTGCATGTACATTTGTGTGTATGTTTTGCTTTGGTACCATTATATGTTGGTGCAAATGATTGCATTTTTACATGGCCGGTCTTTAATGACAACAGTTGGTCTGTTTCTTCTTGGAAGTCGCATACAGGTTATTTGAGTTGCTGTTGATTTCTGTGTGGAGAAAAAAGGTTTAATTTAAATTCAAAGAAAACATGATCATATATATATATATATATATATATATATATATATATATACTGTTGATCAGTGCATCTTATTCTACAGAAAATCACTGCTTCAGGACCTTTTATATGTAATAACTTCTAACTCTGAAATGACTTTTCTCTATTAATGAATTCAGGTCACTCAGGCAGGGGAAATAATAATATAATTATCTTCTTTTCATGATGCAATAAAATTCCAGTGGATTAAATAATGTTGTTGAAGGAATAGTTCACTCAAAAATGAAATCTGGCTGAAAATATATTCACCCTTAGGCATCCAAGAAATTTAGCATTACATTAGTTACTCACCGATGGATCCTCTGCAGTGAATGGGTGCCGTCAGAATGAGAGTCCAAACAGCTGATAAAAACATCACAATAATCCTCAAGTAACCCACACCACACTAGTTTACTAATTAATGTCTTGTGAAGTGAGAAGCTGTGTGTTCGTAAGAAACAAATCCATCATTAAGACATTTTTAGCTTTTGACTAAAATACTAATCCTCTATCTATAAGTCCTCCATCCGTAATATGGCTTTCTCCAGCAAAAAAAAAAGTTAAGAAATATGCACAGAACAAGCACCGTTTACATGAAAAACAGTCTAAAAGTGGTGACGTGGGAGGACAACAGGGGATGAACATTTTCACTAGAGGGCGCATTGTTGTAGATTATGGATTGACATTTTGGTTTCAAGTTATAATGCCTTAATGATGGATTTGTTTCTTATAGACACACAGCTTTCCATTTGCAAGACATTAATTGATGGACTGGAGTCATTCTGTTTATATGTGATGTTTTTATCAGCTGTTTGGACTCTCATTCTGACGGCACCCATTCACTGCAGAGGATCCATTGGTGAGCAAGTGATGTAATGCTACATTTCTCCAAATCTGTCCCCAAAACATTACATTTTTGGGTGATCTATAATGTACTTACGAACAACTTCCCCAATACGTCTGGATCCACTTTTCTCCAGTTCTGCCAGTACATTGGTCTCAAATGTTAAAGATGCCACTCTGAAGAAAAACTCTCTCACATTCTCCCCTACAGTGACAAAAAGAGTCCTTAAACAACATAAACAGTAGCAACTTCTATCTAGGGTTTACAAAATACTTTATGTGACTTTGTAATACATTACACAAAATTGCTACACATCCCATTAACATATAAGACACTATAGCAATCTCTCTAGTCAGCAACTCACCAGTCAAGGCGGACAAAGCCCAGTACTCTGCTTTCATCTGATCTGCCAGTTTAATGGCATCCTGCTCAATTAGTGTATACTGTGCTGGAGACTGGAGGAAAGACATATTGGTAGGACATATATATTTATGCATATGGAAGGAGATTGTACTGGTTTATGCATGGCCATGATTGTAAGTATAATTCAATATCAATTAAAAATAATAAAAATGGTCACTCACACTCAGATCTTTCTTTGTGCCAACCAAGAAGAGTAATACACTGGTAGGATCATTCTCTTTCATTGCGTCCTCCAGCCATTGCCTTTAGAAGAGGACGATACATTTCAATGTGTGAAGCATGCTGTGTATTTGTTAACCCAGAGGGCAGAATTATAGTGATGGTGTCATTTACCTTGTATGCTCCAGCGAAGCAACATCAGTCAAATCAAACACAATGATTACGGCTGTAAAACAGGAATGGGAAAAGAATATGAATAACAAAGAAAAACCCCTCATTTGTGGCTAAACCTTTTTGTGATGCCTCTTTTTATCTACTTTTGGTGCAATGTGTGCGTCTTATACACGTGCAAGATTACATTAACGCTATAAGTATTAAGTATAGTAACATTTCAAAAGCACATTTTAAGAACAAACGACCGTCCATCCTTTCTAGTCGATCTCAGTCCGTGCTTCGTTACACTGTAACTCTGTTGCTACAAACAAACGTGTGCTTCTTACCTAAAGACGTTGTTTCTGTAAATGTGAAGCGCTAGTTGCCTGAGACAAAGACGTTTGAAACGCCTTTAAGGAAAGGAGAATATAAAGGAAAAGCAAAAAAAGGTGGGGGTATGAGGCGCTTTCAGCATTCATCCATCGCGTACAGTTTCCAAGTTTCTGAAGAAAACGGCAGGATGTACAACGACCGACGGAAGCGCTGTGAACTGCATACAGATGATGGATTCGTCTCCAGTCCAATCCCCCCGACTCTCTCCCGACCAAAACCAGGAAAGAGGGATAGTAAACGCCCCCTACAGCCCCCAGCGTTTTGACCGTTCACAGCAGATATAATACGGTTGTTACAGCACTTATCTTTTAATACTGTGGTATTACTAATGTTATGACCGGGTTGTTGGTAGGCCTAAAGCTCGCAAACGCTGCAGGTTAGCAAGAATATACATTTTTATGTCATGAACAGTGTTGGGGAAAGTTACTTTTAAAAGTACTGCATTACTATTGCGTTACTCCGTAAAAAAGTAACTATTTACGGTACTTAGTTACTTTTTATGGAACGTCATGCGGTACGTTACTTTTGCGTTACTTTTTAAATATGAGTAGGGCTTGATTGTTTTTAATATAAGAAGTTCTATTTATAGCAAATGTAAAAGCCCTTTCACACCAAAAAGTGTAATGAGTAAACCTCATGCTGAAAGGAAAAGTAAATTCACGTCTGTACAGTAGAACGCAGGAGAAGGAACACTCTTCAGCAATAAAAAAACAATGAAGCAAAATTGTTAGTTTCTCTAAAGTCATTTTTGCTTATTAGTATGGTTGAACTGGATCATCAAAGGTCATCAGCAAAGACATTGGTTAATAAAATGGAATTAGATACATTTGTGTTATTTAACATATTTAATTATTGCAGGTTTGCGTCATATTCTGAATTTCCCTGTTTTAATTCATTTCGATGAATACTAAATCAGTTTTTTGTGAGTGGGATGAATTAATGCACATTCACATTTAGTCTAGAACTACAGTAACATGTTCACACAGCGCACACAACGCCTCTGTACTTCTGATTTCTCCCAATATGGGGGCAGGAGAGCTGTCAGTCAATAAATGGGAAAACAAAGTAACTGGGGTTACTTTTTTGAAACAGTAACTCAGATATTTTCTTGTAAATTAAAAAAGTAATGCATTACTTTACAAGTTACTTGAAAAAAGTAATCTGATTACGTAACTCGCGTTACTTGTAATGAGTTACCCCCAGCACTGGTCATGAATATATATATAGCATATTGTGTTTCAAAATGAGTTTAGAAAAAGTGTGCTCAATATGGGCTGCGTAAATGTATTATTATTATTAAATAATAATTATTATATTGTTACATAAATATAAAAAATTATTAATACTATTATTCCGAAAGGATGCACGTGACGGTAAAGACATTTATATTAAAGTTATATTTCAATGAAATGCTATTCTTTTGATCTCTATTTGACAAAGTCTCCTGATCCAAAAAAATGTCTCTGTTTTCAACAATGATAATAATATGAAATGTTTATTGGGCAGCAAATCAGCATATTAGAATGCTATCTGGATGATGACACTGAAGAGTGGAGTAATGGCTGATGAAAATTCCATTTGAATATAGGCTATATTAAAATAGAGAATATTTCTTTTATATTGCAGGCCTAATAATACTTAATAATGTTACAGTTTTTACTGTAGGCCTATAAAAAATAAACAAAGGCAGCCTTGGTGAGCATAAGAGACTTCTTTCAAAAACATTAAAAAAAATCTAGATGGCATGTTTGTCATACTTTGTTCTGAGTGTAATCCTTAATTCATCATTAGTTAAACAAATAACTGATTTAATCTTAGCACCATACTACAGTAGGTTTATTTACTGTAAAATCAAACACTTAAAAACAATATTAACTTTTTCTTAAACCTTTACTCTCAGACCATATCAGTTAACATAAAGGTTTGCAATAAAACACTACATGTTCATAACTAGCATGCAATTAGCCGTTTTTCTAGTGTAGAGCTGTGCATCCAGTCTATTTTGTAAGTGACTTTTCTTTTTGTTTTGAAGATGCTTTCTTATGATTGTTTAATTACTCAAAAGAGAATACAGGGACGGTTTACATAATACATTTGTGTTTCCTGCTAGCTAAATTGCACATTCATAAGCAAATGTTTGCTGGTTCTTAACCTCTCTTTTCATTGTTCAAAGTTGATTTAGACAAGTATATGGCAACTATCCAAAGTTCTGTCAGTTCTATCTATGAAAACTGTATTTATGTATTCTTCCTTTTTGTGTGTTTGTAAGGTGTTCATTTATTTATTTTTGTTTGGTTGGTTTGTTTGTTACCCTGGCAATACCTATCTGTGTTTACTTGCATTTGTTTTGTATGTATGTCTAGATTTGTAATAAAAAAAGCGCAAAAAAAGTGCTCAGAAAAAAAGGCTGCGCAGCAAAGCGTGTTGTTTCTTCTCAAACACCAGAGGGCGCCATATTGAGATATCATCAATTCTTCTCCACTGTTCTGCAGATAGTTTGCTTAAAGGGATAGTTCACCCAAAACTTCTGAAAATTCTGAAAATGAAAATTCTGTCATCATTTACTCACCCTCATGTCGTTCCAAACCTGTATGAGTTGCTTTCTTATGTTGAACACAAAAGAAGATATTTTGAAGATTGCTGGTAATCAAACAGTTGGTGGTTGCCATTGACGTCCATAGTATTTTTTTTCCTACTATGGAAGTCAATAGCAACCACCAACTGTTTGAGTCTAAACTGGTCAATGTTTAAAAAGTACAATTGGCAGAAAACATCTGTTGTGTCTGTGTGGTCTTCCTTACTCATTGCATTGATTGTCAACAGTACAGAGTTGTTTCGCATTACTGAGTGGTGAAGGAGGTTCACTCTCTGGCATGACCTATTTCAATTCCACAAATATTTTCAATTCTATTCTTTGAGCATGTGGTTGCTGGACAACCAGTGTCAGTGTGAATTGGTTGAAGTGTAAAGAAGAGTAGAACAGTTGAGGAGAAGAGAAATGGAAAGAGAACAGTCTGTTTGGAAAACACTAAGATGGAGCAACTTAAAGGTCCCATATTGTCAAAACTGAAATTTCCTGGCTTTTTTCACGATAACTGAGGTCTAGGGGCTATTTAACAACCATATAAGTTTCAAAACAGTCAGTCCACAGTAAAATGCACACAGCCTGCATAAAGTAGCTGTGATTTTTCACGAACCGTTGTGACTTCCGTAAAAAGTTGACGTCAGAAGTACACAGTCACCGACTTCAGTCACCACCCCGAGCGCCGCCCACCGTCCCACTGTCCCACTCTCTTTTTGCCAAACCCCAGACAATATCGCGCCCATGCTATTGCTGAGCAACAACAACATGGAAACATGTCGAAAAAGGTTAACTTTAACCACATAACCAGATCGGCCGACCTTTAACGTTACACTCTCACTCAAAGGATGGACGATCTGACAGGATTGTTACTATGAAAAGGATCACATCTAACGTGTAAAGTAAAGACAAACTCACCGTGTCTATCTAGTCATGATGAAGATGTATATACATTTCAATTTCAGGAGGAAACAATTTTTACAGCTACGTTATTGTTCCATCCACAATTAATCACAACAATGTATATGCAATTACAAATTATTATACATAAATCGTCAGTTTGTTGTTTTACACACATGCACACAGACATTATTTCATACACGACATAGTCGTGAGATGCAAGAAACAGACATATGGCAAGAAATCTGTAGACACGCCCATAACAACGAAAGACAATACTTTATTGAACCTTTTCTGATAAGAAGTGTGCGCTGCAAACGCGAGCATTTTTGCTGATCGTTTATGTGCAGTCTTGTTTTATTGCGTTTAACCACAGCTGTCGTCAGTTTTTTGTCTGGCAGTGGCAGCAGATATGCGATCAAATTTAGAATTTGAGGCTGTATTACGTAGATTCTGGCACCCAACATCACAACAAGATGATATTTTATGCTCCTTATGTAGCCGAATCTGGGCTGCGTTCAGCCCCAACAACAATGGTGCAAAACCTTTTATAAACGCAAACGGTGGTGCGTTGAACACCCTGTTCTGATGACGCAAGAGTTGCAACTATGGCAGCTGAGAAGGCCATTCTTTGTGTTCTTTTTGAAGAATTTTCGGAGCCTGATAAATTGGTATAAAATTGGTATAAATACGTGTTTAATACTGCAAAATATGCTCGATGTTACAGTCACTGCCCTTGCCGTCCAGAATAAAAGAGAACATCCCAATCAAATGAAGGGATTTGTGGAAACTGTGGTTCCTAATTATTGTGATCCAACATTTGCCTCGCATTTCAGGATGAAAAGACAAACATTTCTCCAAGACTGTGTTATGATCTATATGACCTTATTATTTTTATTGTGAGTATTACACTCTAAAAAATGCTAGGTTAAATACAACCCAGTGCTGGGTAAAATAGGGACAAACCCAGCAATTGGGTTGTTTTGACCCATCGGCTGGGTTAAATGTTTAACCCAACCTTCTGGGTAGTAACCCAACCACTGGGTAAAAATAACCCATTTTCTGGGTTTGTCCCTATTTGACCCAGCACTGGGATGTATTGAACCCAGCATTTTTTAGAGTGCAAACAATATACTTGCTCTTGTGAATTTATTTGGATGTTAATTACATTGTGCTAGCTGTCTCTGTAATACCGCGTGGTTTATATACATGCTGCTGCTGGTTGGGCTGACATGTTTGACACACCCACCA